CCATTAGCATCATCATCATAATTAATACGAGCCACATCGCCACCATTCCCACCATCATTGCTGCTCCTAATTAGCATCCCTGTATTACCATTATGGCCTATAATTACGATAACAATCATGGTTATCATTACTATCAATGTTAACATTCATTATCTTTAGTGTAGTATTGTAAACCTTTGTTTATTATGATTATGATTATCATTATTATTATTAAAATTATTATCATTATTACTATTATCATTATCATTATTATTGTTATATTATTATTACTATCGTTATTATTATTATTTATCATTCTTATTATTTACTATCAGTGTCATTACTATAATTACTATTATAACTATTATTATTGTTATTGTTATTATCATTGTTATCAATACTATTACTATTATCATCATTATCATTATTACTGTAAATATTATTATCATTACTATTACTGTAATTATCATTATTACTACTGTTAGTAGTAGCAGTAGCATAAATTATCATTACCATTATCTTTATTATTAGTAGTATCATTATTACTTCATCATCCTTTTTTATTATTGTTATTAATAATAATAATACTATAATTATTACCATAATGTTGTTACTGCGTTATCATTAATAGCTTGTGTTATCAGTTTTACTATATCTATACTTATATAAACAGGGGAGAGGGGAGGGAGAGGGGAGAGAGAGAGGGAGAGGGAGAGAGAGAGAGGAGAAAGAAAGAAAAGAAAGAAAGAGAGAGAAGAGAGAACCGAAAACCAACGAAGGAAGACAGAGAGAGTGGCGAGTGACTGACAGAAAGGAAGCGAGAGAGACCGAGTGACAGCGAAGGAGAGTGAATGAGAAGAGAGAGAGAGAGAGAGAGAGAGAGAGAGAGAGAGAGAGAGAGAGAGAGAGAGAGAGAGAGAAGAGAGAGAGAGAGAGAGAGAGAGAGAGAGAGAGAGAGAGAGAGAGAGAGAGAGAGAGAGGGAGAGAAAGGAAACGCTCGCACTCTCGCTCCATCTTCTCCCCTCCCCTCCCCCCCTCGTCCCTCCTTCTCCCCCTTCTCCCTCCCCCCCCCCCCTACCTCCCCTCGGCATTCCCATCTCACTCCTTCCGCTCCATTTCCTCTTTCGCTTCTCCTTTCTTCTTCTATGTACGTCGTTCTTTTCCCTTTGAAGAAATACATTTAGTAATGCGAAGGCCCCTCCTACACTTTCCCTCTCTTTGTTTCTTGTTTCCTCGCCTTCCTTTATTTATTCTTTTATTTATTTATTTATTTATTTTTTACAATTTCTTTAATTGTTCATTGGTTATTTATCACTGTCTCTATTTTTTTTTTTTTTTTACAATTTCTTTAATTGTTCATCGGTTATTTATCATTGTCTCTATTTTTTTTTTTACAATTTCTTTAATTGTTCATCGGTTATTTATCATTGTCTCTATTTTTTTTTTTTTTTTTACAATTTCTTTAATTGTTCATCGGTTATTTATCATGTCTCTATTTTTTTTTTTTTTTTTTTTACAATTTCTTTAATTGTTCATCGGTTATTAATCATTGTCTCTATTTTTTACAATTTCTTTAATTGTTTATCGGTTATTTATCATTGTCTCTATTTTTTTACAATTTCTTTAATTGTTCATCGGTTATTTATCATTGTCTCTATTTTTTTTTTTTTTTTTTTACAATTCTTTAATTGTTCATTGGTTATTTATCATTGTCTCTATTTTTTTTTTTTTTTTTTTTTACAATTTCTTTAATTGTTCATGGTTATTTATCATTGTTCTCTTTTTTTTTTTTTTTTACAATTTCTTTAATTGTTCATCGGTTATTTATCATTGTCTCTATTTTTTTTTTTTTTTTTACAATTTCTTTAATTGTTCATCGGTTATTTATCATTGTCTCTATTTTTTTTTTTTTTTTTTACAATTTCTTTAATTGTTCATCGGTTATTTATCATTGTCTCTATTTTTTTTTTTTTTTTTTTTACAATTTCTTTAATTGTTCATCGGTTATTTATCATTGTCTCTATTTTTTTTTTTTTTTTTTTACAATTTCTTTAATTGTTCATTGGTTATTTATCATTGTCTCTATTTTTTTTTGTTTTGTTTTTTTTACAATTTCTTTAATTGTTCGTTGGTTATTTATCATTGTCTCTATTTTTTTTTTTTTTTTTTTTTTTACAATTTCTTTAATTTTCGTTGGTTATTTATCATTGTCTCTATTTTTTTTGTTTTGTTTTTTTTACAATTTCTTTTAATTGTTCGTGGTTATTTATCATTGTCATTTTTTTACATTTTTTTTAATTGTTTATTTATATCATTGTCTCTATTTCTTTTTGTTCATTTTTGTTTTTTTTTACAATTTTCTTTAATTGTTCATTGGTTATTTATCATTGTCTCTATTTTTTTTTTTTTTTTTACAATTCTTTAATTGTTCATCGGTTATTAATCATTGTCTCTATTTTTTTACAATTTCTTTAATTGTTCATCGGTTATTAATCATTGTCTCTATTTTTTTTTACAATTT